TTTTTAATCCCCACGAGGTGTCCCGTAATCCCCCACTGACACCTTCCCGGGAGGAGGCTGATGCATTTGGGAAATGACAGCTCCGCCGCGAAGCCGGCGAGCCTCGGTGCCGAGCGGATGAATGATCCAGGAAGACGATTGGGCTGTGGTCCAGAAACAAAAATTTGAATGTGATGACATGTCTCAAAACGAGCTGGTTTTCGCAAGCGAAACGCTCTTACACAGAATCTGCCTGGGAAGATGAAATATCTTGACGGGGAAAAAAAACGGAGCAGATTTCATTTCATCTTGTTTCGATTTTAGCTTGTAGCTTTGTCGCTAGTCTTGGTTGATTGAATGAGAATGGGTGGGGTGGAGGGGTTTGGGGGGATGGCGGAGAACTTCACAGAGGAGGTGACTACGATGTTTTATTCATATGTCGTAAAACGTGTTGCTCTGTGACAGAATTAGGCAACTGTCATGTCGAGGCGTGTGCAAAGGAGGCTGGAAAGTACCCCTGTTTGGCTGCGCATATCTAAATGTCAGGATGAGGAGATGGAGGGGGGTGGCGCTTGTTCCTTGTCAAAAAGCTCAGTTGGACGCCGGTACCCGCCAATCTTCTTCAACCTCTCAGTAATTTCGCCGAGCCGGTTTTCATTTCTGTCCCTTTGCATTTAAATGTTTTTAAATTGCTGTTTTTGGACTGCAAACGCTGTCGCCAATGTACATTATTTAAATAGTTTTAGCGATTTTTTTTTTTACCCCTAATGTATGTACAGTACCTCTAATGTACCACATTGACGCCATATTGGATGGTGCATATACTTTAAGGCATCATGTGTAATGCCGAGCTCGAATGTAGCGAATTTAATTCCTACCCGCCTCATACGTACCCTATTTATAGCCTAGACTGCGAATGCGCCGTCGTTACAGCATCTCTGATTTGACTCTCAACGTAATTAGTCCTGGTCCAAATGGAGTCGGTCTCTCCTTGAGCCCGCAGGTGCAACCTTCTACTGCAATGCTGCGCGCCGATGACTCAAGCCGTAAGCCGAACAAACCAAAGCAGCAGCGACGAAAAAAAAACAAAAAAACAACCTACCAGTTCCTTCACGGAGCTTTCAAAACAAATACGAGGAAGCTACGCTTTGTTCTGAAACGAATCGTTGGCTAATTGAGGGTCCTCCTGCCCCGCTGGCCACTTAAGGAGCGAGCGCATCAGGCTCGGCTCACGTAATTAAAATGTTTTTTTTTCTGCGCACGCACAACCCCCCCCCCCCTTCTTTTTATTTGCGCGAACCATCTGGAGGCCTCGCCTATGTAAACACGCGTGTCAAATTGATTCCTTAATAATGTTTGTGCTCCTGACTGCCGCTTTATCCTCGCCCAGGATTAGCAGTTTCTTTTTTTTCGCTTCCATTAACTGCACACCACAAACGAGTGTCCCAAAAATATACATGTATGTTAATACTGTAAAACAGTATTAACAGATGTATACTTTTACTCTCTAAATAATAGAAATGATTACTGTTTTATTTGATTCCATTAAATGTTTTCTTAATAATCATCTGACTCCTAAGGCCACAAATGATGATTTTTTTTCACAACTAATAACCAACAGTCTCACACACATCAGCGGCTTTTCCTCACACACGCGGTTGAGGACGGTTCAAGTTTATCAGCTGTCGGCGTCAGATCCTCGGACGTGTCTGCGCTTATCGCCAAGCACGCCCGGGGGAGTTGCAATGCCGACGCTTCGCTAGAGTGACTCCGTCAAACCGCAATTCGCACGTCAAACCCGGCCGCTGTCGTCCGATTCTGTCGGCGATATCGACGGGAACATCGGCCCCGCGTTCCTTCCTCGTTGGGGGTCTTCCGAAAACAACAACGACAACCTCGAAACGAAGTTGTTTACGGAACTGAAGTTTAGAATCGGAAAGCGTTTGCGACATGTTACAGACAAATAGCACGCTTTTTACAGAACAAGATAAGGCTCGCGCAAGACGATAAGGAATCTCGTAGCTTTTTTCAGATTCAGAAAACTTTATTTATACCCGTGGGGCAATTAGAGCTGAACTGTTGAATTGCCGTTTGAGTCCATTTTGTAAAACGAGGCTAGCTTGCTAGCTGACGTCAACGCTACAAGGCTCAATCCATCTCCCCGTCCAAAGAAAATATCCTTGGCATCAATCCCAGCGACAGGAAAGGCTATTCATTAGCCAGTCCCTCAATAATCATGTTAACTATGTCTGAATACTCACCTCGTCTATTTTTTTTAAAACCCAATTTTACGTGCTGAAATAATGAATCATGGTCAGTCTTCTTTGAGGCAATGCTAATCATTTAGCCATTTTCTCAATCGTTCTGCCTTTGTGAAACGACACGAAATGCTTTGTTTTTTTTTGTCGGTGCCATAGGAGAAAGTGCTGTCAGAGTGAAAAAGGGAGACAGACTCCATTACTCACACAAAATACAGCATGCTTCCCTTCTTTTGGTTGTGCACCATCGACTCTCAGTGGTGCGATTGCAGAGCGTAGGTGTTTTGGGAAGCCGCAGTCTGGATTTAGTCACCGAGCTGCAGACCGCATAGTGAGTTGCAGAGCAATCCCCCGCCCCCCCAAAAATAAAATTGTCCAGTGCTCTGCTGACTCAGTAACTGCACAACTCCAAAACCTTGCAAGCCTTACATCAGCGAGTGCAATGCAAAAAAACCCAAAAAAACTGGGATGGAGAACGGACTCCCACCCAAAATCTCTACTCGCTATTTTGTGTCAACGTCAGGAAATAACAATCTACTCTTTTCGCGTCATATTCCAAACTAATGACAACATCCAATTTCCTCACAATGTTAAATGAAAGGAGTGCATTTATTTAGCGCTTGATCCATTTACAAACCCGTATTTATTTTGTCTCATTCAAATTTATTGGTGTGGAGCCTACATGTGGCGCGTTGGCATAGGTTTGACTTATTTTTAATTTCAAAACGACTTACTTCAATCTTCAGGTTCTCCGCACCATTCCCTGACCGACGGCAGAAACCAGGATGTCGTTTTGTCTTTGTTCACATTTTAAATGGCTGACGCTTTTTTTTTTTTTGCCATCGTCTCATCCTAGCTAGCGCTTAGGTACCCCATCCGTCAGGCAAGGCACTGATACACTGCCTACCTGGGCTTTATTGACGAACTGCTTCACAGTTGAATTGAATGCTTCCCCGGCTAAATGTTTCCGATACTCTCTATTCCGAAAAATCTGACTTGGCATTCGCTTTCAGGGGCCGATTCGCAGCTCAATACAATGCAGCCAAAAGTCATTTTCTGGATGCGGGCTCTGGCAAGGCACAGAAGGACAAATGTGTTTCAAACTGTAGAATGTTTTTGAATGTGCAACGTCATTCCAAACTGGGACCGATTAGAAAGACCTGGCTTGAAAACCGATTCTTTTGGTGCCAGAGCACCAGGACAATTTGACTGAGCACACCTCGCTGGCGGCGCCTTTGTACTCAGGACGAGATGCTGACTGAATTTTGTCAGTTTTGGGTGCGTTGGCACGTCATATGATGTTTGCAAAAATACGTTTCAACCTTCCTTTGCGGCTTTACCCGCCTGGCAAGGACACCCCGGCATCCGTTGATTCAATAAAACAGACTTTTGAGGCGGAAAGTGATATTTGCAGTTGTTGCCTTTTCCAAAGCACATCATCCCGGTTCCAAAGCATGCCGGAATACAGACATATGTGCCGTGGCTATGCTGTCTTGCTGGCTCCGGCAGCGCAGTTGAGGGGATTAGCCTGCGCCTGAGTGCTTCGAATAATGATCAGCGCAGCGGAGAAACACATTTTCACATTTGGGGAGATAAGGGCGGGCAATCTGCAAAGCAAGAGGACTTAAGCGACTCCCCCGTGGCTCGCGGCGGAGCCGACGCAAGTCACGACCGGTCACGTGGAGAACAACACCCCACCAGTGTCTTTCGAGCACAGCGAGGAACAACTTTTAAATGACATTGCACAGAACGCAGCCTGCTGGTGTCCTCCGCCGCCGTGCTTCATTTCCCAGCGAGAGATCAAATCGGGCTTCGTTTCCCGCCGACAGCCCGGATTCTAATCACTCGGTTTAAGGATGCTCCACGTGGAGGGCTACGCTGCCTGGCGGAGTGGCGTCCTCATTAATCACACGGAATAAAACACGGCTGACGTTATTCTGCCAGGTGTCCTAATGACAGCACAACAAACAGCGAGCAGACCCGCATTTCCATATCACAAGACAAGAAGGCGGCGGAACGCTGACGTTGCGAGCGACCTGAGCACAGCGTGTGGGCCACCTCCACAAAAACAAAAGGTGTCAGCAAATCGGAAGTCTTTTTGCCCAGAAAACCTGTGGAAACATTATCTCAGGATGTGCTAGCTGGAACTGATGCAGGAGAGACGTGTTATGATTGACATGATTCCTGCACGAAGATTTAGTGATGGTGAGAACTGAAATATAGACCAGGAAGTGCCGGCAAATGACTTTGCAAGTCGGAACCAGGGGGAACGATGCATGCCGACTTCAAGTCGCACACACTAGGCCATTCCATTTGCGTGCAGCATCACATCTAAATGCGGATTCACCGTGTTTACTTTGAACTCTGAACTCCATTCGTGGAGTTCAAAAATGTATTCTACAGCTCACTGGGAGCCAGTGTGAAGCCTTTGGGACTGCGCGGATGTATTCTGATCTCTTTGTTCTGGTCAGAACCCTTAGCTGCGGCGCTCTGAATATGAGCTGCAGCTGTTTGATGCTCTTTTGAGGGAGTCCAGTCAGAAGTCTGTTACAATATTCAAGTCTACTCGAGATAAAAGCATGGATAGGTTTTCTCTTGGTTTGATTGGAGTATGCGACCCTTCAGAAAGTTTCTGTGACTGAGTTGATGACTGCTGAAATTGATGTTTCGTCCTCAACTTATGTTTTCTATTTTACACTAATTTTTGGAATCATATGAACACAACCAAACATGTCAACAAATCGATCCGAGCCGTCTCCTTACCTTTCCCACGTACTGCTCCTCTGTCCCCATGTGTTCTTCTAAAACAAAGAATTGGTTCCAGATCCAGCCTCGTTTGGGCCTGTGGTGCACCTCCGTCTCCCCATTGGCCAGCTTGCTCTGGTTCCTGCCGGAATTCCGGGCCAGCACCCTGGCGGGCAGGTGGTGGCTCGCCCCGTGGGCCCTCTGGATGAAGCAGAGGCAGACCAAGACGGGGCAGAGCCCGCCCGTGCCGGGTATCCTCATGGCGGTGTCTTGTAAGATTATCCCAGCGCTCCAAGACCGGAACTTCCTCGCAGCCGCCACCGCTGCCGACCTCCTCCAAGGCAAAACTTTAAATCCCAATGATGAGAAAAGCTGTCCCAGTACATCCAGGAGAGGTCATGGTCCAAAAAATAAAAATAAACGAGGCTCCTTTTTACATTATGGAATTTCCCAACTGAGCCGCTGACGTCAAGGCGCGGACGATTCTATTCGTGGAGGAGGTTAAATCCCACATGCCATCATGTATATCCTGTGGAAAACGCAAAGCAAACACGGGGTTATTATTCGGGTATCATTCAAAAGTGAATTAACACTTTCAGGCACTCTGTAACTTGATAACATGAGAAGATGTCCACTGTCGCAACTGCTGTCCCTCAAAGGGTTAGAAAGACGTACCCTGTCTTCAAAGCCTAATTTGAAACCTTACTCCAAGATCAAAACTATAAAATGAAGCTATATCCTTGTCTTGAAACCCTAATTCCGATCTTTAAAGTGTTGACATCATAAAAAAATAAAATTCAAAACCTAACTTGAAATTTTTCATCATGTTCAAAAATGTCATTTGTCACCGTAACCCAAGCACAAATTTAAAAGCCGAACCCTATCATCAAACCTTAATCTAAAATCATAAATGTCGCTAGAACTAATAGATTGGAAACCCTAATTTGACCGTGTTTTGAAAGCCTAACTCTGTTTTCCACCCTAATTTACAACCCTAACCCCGGATTAAAGTGACGGACATGAGAGGCTAAACGTCCTCTAATTCCCGCCAATCCCCCCGATAAGCACATGCGCTCCTCCAACAACCCGCTCGCCATCAAAGGGCCGTGGGGGCCGTCTCAGCCCCGGTGCGGCGGTTTGTTGTTAAGACGTTACGGCACTGAGAAGGTCGCGGCGGGCGCATGCTAACGGACACCTCGCACCCGAGGTCGGTGTCATTCATCAAATGCTTCCCTGACTCAACTTTATTAAAAGGTAGCCACCAAGGCTTCTGATTCCCGAAGTGCGCATCCTAGAAGAAGAGAGTAGGGAGTTGAGCAGATCATCAAAAGTTAGGCGCTAGCTTGTTGAAGGCTTGCGACATTTTGAAGGATTGTTCTCCTTTTCATGTTTTCACAGCCCCTTAATCTTAGGAGGGTCCCCGAGGGACAGAGGGCTGCAGCTAATCCCTGAGGCGGGGTACACCCTGGACCCGTCGCGAGTCACAGACGCTTTCGCTACAAGCAAGCCTTTCATCTTCAGTGGACTCGACGTGCTTTTGCAAACTAAGACGATTATTTGCAGTCTTGTTTCAGTTCAGAAGCAATTGCAGTACATGACGTACGCTTTTTTTTTTCCAAACATTGTTTGAAACCCTAATTTGAAACCTTAACCCGAGCTTGAAACGCTCGCCAAGGTTCAAACCTCCAAAATGAAACACTAAGCTAAGCTTCACACTGAAATTGAAACGCCCAAACACCTGAGGAACACTAATTTTTTTTGTTATTAAACTTTTTATTGAATTTTTTAACCAGTTATAAAAAAGAAAAACATGGTCACGTGTTCAGATACACAGAACCACATCAGTTCCGGGCATCAAAATAGTACATACATCACATAGACTTCCCGGTGAAACGGATCACAGTTACTGCCCTCCCGCGTATACAATGTCCTGAACACTGTGCCATACAAGTAAAAAAAATAATGAAATAAAATAAAATAAAATAATAATAAACAAAAATAAACTAACTTGAGTGGAATGGGGCCAATAGGGTAACTCAACTATCTGTTTAAGCACTTAGGTTTCCGTAAATTTTATCCAGGTATCCCATAATGTCTCAAATTTCTCCCGTTCGCCTCGAAGAATAGATGTCAGTTTCTCCATTTCAAAAATTTCCCCGACCACTTTAGTCCAGTCTTTGACTGTTGGAGGATCTCTTGTCAACCATCTTCTTGTGATTGCTTTTTTGCTTGCTAACAATAAGATGTTATATGTGTATTTCTGGGGAAAGTTAATGATAAAGTCAGGTTCCAGTCCCAAGTACAGGGCTTCAAAAGTCGGTGGGACCACTGTTCCCATAATCCTACCCATAATCATCCTTGTCTCTTCCCAGTATTTGGAGATGACCGGGCATTCCCAAAACACATGAAAATGTGAGGCTTTGCTATTACCGCAGGATCTCCAACAGGCTGTACTCATTCCTTGTGAAGTCCCTTGGGCCGGAACTCTAAAAAACCTGACTACATTCTTCCACCCAAATTCCCTCCAAGAGAGAGCTGATGTACACTTCCATTGCTGTACTATTGTTCTCTCCCATGCTTCCGGTTGAATTGTAATGCCACCCTCCTTAGCCCACTTATTCTTTATATATGTTGTATCTCCACCTTCTAGTTCCTGCAACTCTTTGTAAATTTTCGATATAGTACCCCGTCCAGGATCTGACCCATAAGATAATAGGAATATCTTGATTAAGCCGAAACCACTTCGTTGGACCCATCCTGCGCTTAAAATTTTATCGAGGTAATGTCTAAGCTGCAAGAATCTATAGAAATCTTGATTACTCAATCCGAAATTGGTTCTAAGATCTTGGAATTGTCGCATCACACCCCCCTTGAGGAGGTCCCGATATATCCTTAACCCTTTTCCGACCCATTTTTTAAATCCTGTATCCATTCTGTTTGGTAAGAAATCTGAGTCATACCCAATCCATCTTAGAAGTAAGTATGGGCTATTTTCTTTGTCTTGC